AGCACACGGGAGAATCTACGAAGCAGCACTCTGCGCCGAAATCCATGCCGAGCAGCAGGACATGGACCTGCAAGAAGAACGACATAAGAAGAAAACGTCAGTACCAGAGTTCGCGTTTCACACCCAGCAACGCTACAATAACAACAACAGTCGACAGCAACAACAACCGAAGCCAGTACCTCCGTTTTGCCACATCTGCAAGACTTTAGGGCATCCTCATATGCACTGCCCGTATCGTCATCAATCGACAACACCACAGCGACAACTTCGACCTTCGAGCAGCCAAGTCACTTCAACACAAGCTACCCCGACACCTTCAGTCCAAGCTTCAACGACTCCAACAGGACAACCTGCACAAAAAGCAAGAAACATCGTCAACTGCATGGTAAAGATAACAGATTCCTGCACAACCGAGTCACCACCATACTACTCACCAGAAGAGCAACTCGACAACAGCACGCCTCGCCGCGAGTCCCTTCAACCAAACCCGACGTACGCCGCCATTGCTCAAAGCGAACCGTCCGGGAAAGATACATGGTTCTTGGACAGTTGCTGCGGACAGCACATGTGCTCTTCGGGACGCTTCGTCCAACGCGAACATCGACTTCAACGAGAGGTCGTCATCACAGTCGCCAACAACCAGAACCTGCGCACACGACGACAAGGAGTAGTACAACTTCAGTCATGAGAGACAAATGTTATACTGCATATGTCAAAGGTACTAATCGCGGAGGGACTCGGCTACAACCTACTGAGCGTCAGCCAGTTGATGGCGAAAGGCATTCACTTGGAAGCCGACAGTACCACCCAGGAGTTCAAATTATACCACGGGAAAGGCAGCCTCTACATCGGGAAGGCGGTCTTGAAGAACAACGTCTTCGTCCTAGACTTCGTCCCAGACCTGGGCACTGCAGACAGCGACGCCATCGTGAACTTCGCCGACTGGACACATCCTCCGGATCTTGATCCGGACTTGAGCCCGGAAGGCTTCTGGTACTCGCACACCATCCCTGAAGCAGAAAGAACACGCGCGTTAGCAACAATTCAACATTCGGCAGCAGCAGAAACAACATCGGCAGCAGCAGAAACAACATCGGCAGCAGCAGAAACATCATCGGCAGCAGCGGAAACATCATCAGCAGCAGCAGAGATAACATCGGCAGCAGCAGCATGACCAACGACACCAGTCCTCGTCAACGAAACACCACCAACACCCGCACAGCAGTTGAAACCAACTCAACGAGAAGTCCACAGAAGCGCAAACTTCGTTGCCAGCTTTTACTCCAACTCCGACGCGTATCGACGCTCACCCGGACACCGCGCCTCCGAAGACATATGGCACGCACGAATGGGACATCCAAGCAACACAGTGTTAAATAACACGATAAGAGCAGGAGTCCTAGACAAGGACTCATTATTACTACCCGACGGCAGAGAACTCCAACGGGCACGAGGGACTTGTCTTACTTGCCCCGAAGCCGACTTACCACATCGACCGTTCACTCCTCATCACAACCCGAGCGCACCTGCGTACACACCACTCGAGAAGGTGTACAGCGATATTCTCTTCAATCGAGAACCAGGACAAGTTACCTACAACTACACGATTACCTTCATCGACGCCGCCACTCGATACGTCTGGCATCTAAATCTACCCAGCCGAGACATGGCACTCGCAGCGTTCGCCGCCTGGCTACCAGTAGCAGAAAGAGAGTCGGGACCACAGCTGAAAAGCTTCCAGTCAGACGGAGGAGGAGAATACACCTCTCAGCGATTCAAGCAGTACCTGGCGGAAAGAGGAATCAAGCAACTCCTCTCCCTTCCCTACGCCCATCAGCAGCAAGGTGTCGCAGAACGAATGAACAGGACTCTGCAGAACAGCATGCGCAAACTGTTACGTGGCATGCGGCTACCCAACCACCAGTGGCCTGCAGCAATGGACCATGCTGTCATGCTGCACAACTTGATGTCGTCGTCCTCACTTCCGAACAACGCATCACCGCATCTGCTGTGGACAGGGAAACAGGGCAGCACAAAAATGTTAAGAGTTTTCGGGTGCATGGTACAGTACCGACCCCCAGAGGCACGAGCGGGAAGATTTTCACAACGCGCACAGTGGGGACTACACCTCGGCATCGAAAAGAATTACAACGCGTGGAAAATCTTCGACGTCCACTCCAAGGAAACAGTAGCAGCACGTGATGTGATCTTCTACGAACGACTCACGCTTCAGACGTACCTCGCCAACTTGCACGAAAATCAGGACCCCACAGGTGGCTTTCGTGGTGACCGAGCCTTCGCCTCAGCAGCGGACGAAGCAGACTGGGACGAGCAGAACGTCGACAACGCATCACAAGAAGCTGGACCTCTCCCGTTCCGCTCCGTCAACGTCCCCATGGACGAAGAAAATCCTCGCGAAAGCGCCAACGCCGAAGTCTTCTACCACTTCGCCGACAATGGTTACGTAACACATGCGACAGTCAACACCAACGAAGCAGAAAGAATAGGACCGAATTTCATAACCGACCCAGAAGCGGGAGATGAAGCAGCTTATCCCGAGGACACAACACTCCCCCGCTACTCACAGACTGGACTGCAGATTCTCGGCCTCGTCACCGCAGTCCACGGCCATCCTCTTCCTGAAGAGCCTGTGACGGTTCAGCAGGCTCTGGGGGGGGAACACAGGGAGAAATGGCGTGAAGCCATGGACAGAGAATTAAAGGCCTTGGAGGAACGGAACACTTGGAAAGTCGTTCCAGTTAGCGTGGCAAGGAACAAGACCATCCTCACCGGGAAATGGGTCTTCCGCATCAAAACGAAGGCAGACGGCACAATCAAGAAGTTCAAAGCACGCTGGGTCGTGCGAGGATTCGATCAGGAACACGGACGGGACTTCACCGAGACATTCGCCCCGGTTAGCCGACACACCTCACTCCGAATTCTCCTCGCGATCGCCGCCATGAAGAAAAGAAAACTACGGCAAATCGACGTTGCTAACGCCTTCCTCTACGCACCCGTCGACGCCGAAATCTTCGTTGAGCTCCCACATGGTACCCACGGGGAACCTAATCAGGTTTGGCAGCTACTGAAATCGCTCTACGGAATCAAACAGGCCCCACGGCTGTGGCAACAGCACCTACACACCCGCCTCACCCGCATCGGATTCCGTCAACTGCCTCACGACCAAGGCATGTACCGACTCACCAAAGACGCCAACTACATTCTGCTTATCGTCTACGTCGACGATTTACTCTACATCGGTTCTACCGACGACATAACTACCTGGTTCGAAAGGGAGCTGAAGAGGGACCTCACACTCACGGTCTCCACTACCGTCACTCAGTATCTCGGACTCAACATCCGCGAAGAAGAAAACGCGATCTACCTCAGCGCCGAAAAGTATGCCGACACCATCGCCAAACGCTTCGCGCTCACACCCGCTACTATCTCCACGCCATACCGCTACACGGCAGGGAACGGCAAAGGAAGCTCCGCCTTACTCAAAACCGCCGGAATACGCGACTACCAGCGAAAACTGGGCTGCCTCCTCTTCGCAGCCGTCACCTGCCGACCAGACCTGTCCTACTCCGCAAGTCAACTTGCTACCTATCTCAAGAGGCCCGAAACAGAACACCTAGCGGAACTCGACCGCGCTCTTCACTATTTCGTGAGCACCGCAACGATCGGCCTGACGTACTACAAAAACACAACTACGCCGACGAAACTAATCGGCTATGTCGATGCCGATCACGCTGGCGACTCAGATAACAGGCGCTCCCGCACTGGCTACATCTACCGCCTCGAACCTATCGGACCTATCTCCTGGCAATCGAGCAAGCAGGAACTAATTGCTCTCTCTTCAGCTGAAGCAGAATATATCGCCCTCTGCTCAGCCACCAAGGAAGGACTCTACCTTCGCGAGCTGCTGGAAGAAGCGAAGTTAGCCGAGTTACCCAACTTCACTTTGTTCTGCGACAACCAATCTGCAATTCGCATCGCCAACAAGAGCGGATTCGCGAACAGAACGAAGCATATCGCCCTGCGATACTTCTTCGTGAAGGACGAGATCGAGAAAGGGAAACTCAAACTATCCTACTGTCCCACGTCCGAGATGGCAGCTGACTACTTGACCAAGAAGCTCGGAAAACAGAAGTTCGAGTACTGCATGCTGCTGACTGGACAAAGCCACGTCACCATCAGCGACACTCCAGAAGCGAAGGGGAGTGTTGGGAACAAATAGTTTAAGCGCCTCTGTCGTGTCAGAACTCAAGACACAAGCGAAGCAGCTCAAATCGAAGCATGGCGAGTCAACCCTCGGAAGTTAACGTAACCGCTGGAGGTTACGAGAAAGTCAAAGGTCAGCGACCTTTGACTTGACGCACCGCGACAGCAAGGACACACAACTGACTCGACATTGAGCAGTTGCCCGAGTCGCACTGTATCGAACCGCAACAGTAAAGTAGTCATAATGTCTCTTCATATTCTTTGTACTCATATATTTATTCCTGTATCTCTTTGTTTCAATTAACTTACTTTGCCCTCACATACTAGCGCAAGGTGGTTCAAGGACTTTATTCAACGCTTCCGCTATTACATCACTTACTCAGACTTTAACTCTACAAAGATCCTAGGGCTTTTCAGCCCAACAAACATCTCGCAAATGTGTTCATTTACTGACGGCATTGCCTGATAGATGAGAGCTGCTGCTGATCACACTGACAGCATTCGTTCAAACTGTGACAGCCATGGCTCCCTTGTTGACCACTCCATCAAGAATATCATTAAGCGCATGGCACAAACTGGCAATCTGCAGCATGATACATTGCACACAGGGCGGGCGTGAGACATAGCACACAGGGCAGGCATGAGACAGAGCACACAGGGCAGGCATGGGACAGAGCACACAGAGCGGGCGTGAAGCAATGAGAGCTTATCTGATGCATGCAGATGTGATTGTGTGTACCTGCTGGTCCCACTGCTGCAGGTCATCCGTGTCGTTGTCAAAGTGAATCACCGCCTCCACCTGGCATGGCCGACAGGGTTGACACGTGCACCAGGGAGCGACGGGTGAAGGGTGGCCGGGAGAGAGCAGAGAGAGGGGTGGCAGGGAGAGCGGGGAGCGAAGGGCGGAAATCTTTGCAAATTGCTGCTGCCACCTTATGGCGAGCACTTCAGGACGGGATGGAAAGTGGGAGGTGAAGAGTTGGGGCGGGAGAGGGGGGAGAGCAAGGGAGAGGGATGGAAGAGTAGCAAGTGCAAGGTTGAATAATACTGCAGATGATTGAAAGGCGACGAGTGTGCTCACTTGAAAGGCTCCCCTAGCCTTAAGTGTCTTAAGTGGCTCCCCTGCCTCACCTAGTCGATGCTGCCTCACCTGGTCGATGCTGCCTCACCTGGTCGATGCTGCCTCACCTGGTCGATGCTGCCCTTCATCCTGTCCTCCGATATCATGCGCGCCGCCACCTTCTCCGCCTGCCCCACGCCACCCCACCCCACAGGTGGGTCGGGATACAGGAGGAGGAGGGCAGAAGACGGTGTGTTGAGTCTACAGGGGGTGGGAATGATTGGACGGCTTATGACTGGAGTGGATGGACGGCTTATGACTGGAGTGGATGGACGGCTTATGACTGGAGTGGATGGACGGCTTATGACTGGAGTGGATGGACGGCTTATGACTGGAGTGGATGGACGGCTTATGACTGGAGTGGATGGACGGCTTATGACTGGAGTGGATGGACGGCTTATGACTGGAGTGGATGGACGGCTTATGACTGGAGTGGATGGACGGCTTATGACTGGAGTGGATGGTTGCAGGCATGACGGGATTTGAACGCAGAAATGGGAGCACCAAGTGTGGTGCAGAGAAACTCAACGGTGTAGGCAGACCATGTTGCTCTGTGACACGGCAGTGCGGAAATGAAAACTCACATGCATGGAGCACAGTGCACGTTCGTCAGTTGCATGATGCATGGTGCAAGATGCATGGTGCAGAATGCATGGTGCAGAATGCATGGTGCAGAATGCATGGTGTATGGCGCATGACGTGTGGTGCCTTGCCATCACCCACAGCAAGCCACCCAGCAGCACACAATTCCCCCGACACCCCACTGCCCTCACACCCCACTGCCCTCACACCCCACTGCCCTCACACCCCACTGCCCTCACACCCCACTGCCCTCACCATCCAACCCCCCTCACACCCCACTGCCCTCACCATCCAACCCCCCTCACACCCCACTTCCCTCACCATCCAACCCCCCTCACACCCCACTGCCCTCACCATCCAACCCCCCTTACACCCACCGTGTGCGGGGCAATGCCCAACAGAGCACCCAGCTCTTCAAAGCTGCGCACGTGATGGATCGGGAGAGGTGCAAGGGGAGTGGAGGGGGGTAAAGAGGGGCCAGAGGAGGGATGGGGGCAAAAGAGGAAACATATCCGATTTCAGGTGGGACTCTACCCTGCGGCAAGGCGGTGCGGCAGAAACTTAATCAGTACAGCTCACCTGATGTTGGTGTACAGCTTGCTGCTCATTTGTTGGTTAACTCACAAATGAGGTAGGCGAGTGTGCAGCAAGGATGCTGATTCCTCACCTGATGTTGGTGTACAGCTTGCTGGCGCTGAGCAGGTTGTGCTCTATCACTGCCCGGTCCAGCACCGTTGACCCCCCTGGTAGCACCGCTTTCTGCACCGCAGGCAGGCAGGGAGTGAGAAAAGCATGGCTTGGATGAATGATGGCAGCAAGTGCGTGACAGGAGGGTGATCATGCAGCGATTGTATAATATGCTTTTGAACCGAAGGTGCATAGAGAAGCAACTCACCCGATGGCGGTTCAACTCATTTCACCTCACCTGGTGCAGTTTCAGCAATATGAATACTTATTACATCCATAAATATCTACGACGAACATTATGGTATACATTATGTACCTACCCATTGTTATATATAACGTGGTATACATGAGCTGTACGGAATGTGCACGTACCTGATGCGGCTTGAGCTCCTTGGCAAATGCCTCCACCTCGGGGGATCGCAGGATGCGCTCCAGATACACCTGCACGGCGAGGGGTGGACGGGCGGCAAAAGGCGGTGGCGCGGAGGCAAAATGGGGTAAGGAGGGCGGTGGGAGGGGGAATGTGGAGGACGGCAGTGAGAGAACGGGTGGGGAGGAGGGGCAATAACGGGGGAGGAGAACTTCAAGTGGAAGTGACAACAGGATTTAAGGCAGAGACACCAGAGAGGGGCGAGAGCTGCAGGGAGAAACGTGGTTGCTGCACCGAGAGGCAGAGCGGCAGTAAGGCGCAGGGAGGACGAGGCACAGGTGATGGAGTTGTTGCAGGGATTATGGTAGGTGGGTTGCGACAGTAAGGACGTAAGAGAGAAGGAGAGCAAGAGAACAAGATGCAAAGGGAGTAAGAGAGCAAGGGAGGGGCGAGGCGATGCAGACCTTCTGCAGAATGGGGTAGATCTTCAGCTTGCTGCAGCGCTCGTCCTGATGGGTGGCGCCGTGGCATGGCACCATGCACACACACACGCACACGTCACGCACACAGTCGAGAGACTTAACACAAAACAAACATCACTCCTGTTCCTACTGCAAAACGCCCAGTCGAGAGACCTGTGAGTAATTAAGTCTTGCGCGTCAGGTGCAGTGCAGTACAGCATGCATAACAAGCTCGCATAGGATTTACAGACTTGCTGCACCATTACACCTGACACTGAGTAAGTGGCACATCTAATAGAGAGTGGCACCTTATAGAGCGTGGCGAGCATGCGGGAGCGCTGGGGGCCGGCAGCAGCGAGGATGGTGCAGGTGACAGCGGCGTTCAGCACCGCCTCCAACTCCTCCTCATCCACCTGCCTGCGTGCGTCACCCGTGCACGCAACAACAAGCTACGTCAGAATGCATGCGTTCAACATGGGTTTTGCAAGACAGCACATGTGAATGCAAGCATGCATCAACATCAAAATTCAAATAGGTGTTTTTGTGAAGAAAAACAGCAAAAGCGGGGAAACGGACAAAGTGTGGAAGATGGGGCGCAGTGTGAAGTTGGGTGGTTCACCTCTCTCCATTCCTGTTGTTCTTCTCTCCCTCCCTCCACCTCACTCTCCACACACACATATGAAAACAAAACCACTCACTTGACTCACTTGTGACCCACCCGCACAGCTTTCGCCCACAAGCCACTCAATTGCCGCCCACAAGCCACTCACTTGCCACCCACAAGCCACTCAATTGCCGCCCACAAGCCACTCACTTGCCACCCACAAGTAACTCAATTGCCGCCCACAAGCCACTCACTTGCCGCCAAGCCACTCACTTGCCGCCCACAAGCCACTCACTTGCCGCCCACAAGCCACTCACTTGCCGCCCACAAGCCACTCACTTGCCGCCCAGCTCCCTCTGGTCCAGCTGGGAGAGGTCATAGTACTTGAGCGCAGCTTCCAGGAACTTCCTCTTGGAGTCCAGAATCCGTGCATAGCACACCTGATGGCAGCACAGAGCGCAGTGCAGTGAAACATACGAAGATGAAGGAGCACCAAGACACGATGAATCTCTTGCAGTGGAAGGTACGCATGGGCACTCGTCTACGGGTGCAACCCTGAGGTGCAACAAGGCGTGGTCACCTTGTACTGCAGTGCGAGCGCCTCACCTTGTACTGCAGTGTGAGCGCCTCACCTTGTACTGCAGTGCGAGCGCCCCACCTTGTACTGCAGTGTGAGCGCCTCGTCCTTGTGTTCGCCGATGTCGAAGGATGCCTTCTTGATGTACGTCTCCGCACTCACTGCATCGTCGTCCTGATGGGCTCATGCAAACACGCGCACACAGGCAGGCGGAAGCACACCGGCACGACAGAAACAGTCACGACTAATAGTCAGAGTAAGGCAGACAAAAAGATGCAGCAGGCAGGCAGCCTTGCTACAGTGTGCATCCGCACTCAATGCATTGATAGCTGAATGGCACACCGTGGCATGGCGCACACATGTACAGAGACCAGCTGGTGACAGATGCACAGCCACAGATGCACAGCCACAGATGCACAGCCACAGATGCACAGCCACAGATGCACAGCCACAGATGCACAGCCACAGATGCACAGCCACAGATGCACAGCCACAGATGCACAGCCACAGATGCACAGCCACAGATGCACAGCCACAGATGCACAGCCACAGATGCACAGCCACAGATGCACAGCCACAGATGCACAGCCACAGATGCACAGCCACAGATGCACAGCCACAGATGCACAGCCACAGATGCACAGCCACAGATGCACAGCCACAGATGCACAGCCACAGATGCACAGCCACAGATGCACAGCCACAGATGCACAGCCACAGATGCACAGCCACAGATGCACAGCCACAGATGCACAGCCACAGATGCACAGCCACAGATGCACAGCCACAGAGCATAGGGCAGAGGGCAGGGGGCAGAGGGCAGGGGGCAGGGGGCAGGGGGCAGAGGGCAGGGGGCAGAGGGCAGGGCAGAGTGAGTGGGAGCACGCACCTCGAGGTAGAGCAGAGCGATCTTGATGCACTTGCCCAGGCGGTACTTCACATCCTGGCCCCTGTGGGCGGTGACGCACGGGTGTGCGGGTGATGCGCGACAAGGGCAAGCACAAAGAGAGGGGAGGGAGGTGCAGATTTGTACGAGGAAATAAGAGAAAATGCATGGAAAGAGTGAGATGCATGGCGGTGTGGTGTGCAGGGCAGGCTGTGGGGAATCGAGCATGGCACTGGCAGTACCTGCTGCCCCCATCCAGGTCGATGCCTGCGAGCATCTGAGCGGCCTTGGCCCACTCCTCCTCGCCCTCGTACACCGCTGCCAGCCCCTCTCGGATCACCGCCACCTGCTCCCACCATGCGGCCATGAGCGGGCGAACCGAGCACGACAGGCGCAACGGGCGGAGAAATGCGGAGAGAGGAGGGTGGGAAGGGTAGGCGGGCTATAGGAAGTGCGAGTAGAAGCGGTGGAGAGGGACGAAAGAAGGGTGGGGGGAATACGGTAGGGACACATGCAGGCGGACGTACACGCAAGCGCACACACGCACTCCCATCCCACCGCTTCCTGAAAGCACACAGCCCTCACGGCCGCACACCCCCATGCGCACCTGCTCCTGAAACAACACGGCGTGTGGCTGGGTGTGTGCGCGGGCGTACACCGCCTCTGCCTTTTGCCGCTCCGCTCGCCCAAGCGCGCACGCGCACACACACACACAATTACACACACACTGACTCCAGCCACACCTGCTCCTCAAAGGACACGACGCGCGGCTGGATGTGCGCGAGGGCGTAGAGCGCCACAGCCTTGTGCTGCTCGGCGCGCAGCCCCCCCAGCTCGCCCGCCAGCTGCTGCAGCACCTGCCGCGCCACCACCAGGGGCACGTCCTCTGATAGCACTGCGGGCGGCAGTGCGTGCGGGGGGTGCGGGGGGGGAGGGGAGGGAGGGGAGGTGAGGCAAGATGCAGGAGGGTGAGAAGAGAGGCTGGTGGGACGGAGTGGCAGCTGCTGCAGCACCTGCCGCGCCACCATCAGGGGCACGTCCTGATAGCACTGCCGCATGGAGCGGGGACAAGGAGGGAAAGGGGGTTGAGGAGGGGGGGTGACGGGTGAGTGAGGGTGGGGGAAGGGGGGGGGGGGGGGGGTTAGCGGGGGGGTTAATGGGGTTGAGGGGAGGGGTGAGGTGGGGATGAGGGAGGGGTGAAAGGGGAGTTGGTTGTGGAACGAACGAGGAAAAGTGGTGCTTAGGGGGGATAAGGGAAGGCAAGGGAAAGGGATGAGTGGGGCGTGGGAGGGAGCGGAGGGTGAGAAGAGAAGCCTGAGGCTTTTGAGAATTCTCAAAAGGAACCAAGTGCCGCAGCGCTGCAGCGAAAAGGCGTGCGGACCACCCGCCGCATTGCCCCCAGTGCACTCAGCCTCTCACTCGCCTCTAACTTGCTGCCGCCTCCGCCTTTCACGGGCACCTGGGGAGAACGGGTGGCGCGGGCTGAAGTCATCACACTTCAACAACAGCACCTCATCCAATCGCAAAGAAAGGCGAGGAAACGCGTGAGACCGCTTTGCGCCACACAGAACGCTGTCTAAAGTACGTGAAACGAGGTGATTAACGGTCCCCGCAAGCAGCAGCCCGCACAAGCACCACTCGGTCGCTCGCTCGCTCCGCCCCCCAGAGTCCAAAGCACAATCCGCTACTGGCATCAGCAGTCGTCGCCGCACCCACCATCCATACCCCGTCCCACCCCCCCACGCACGCATCCCTCCTCCCCCATTCTCGCCACCCCCCGGCCTCCCGCAACCCCCCTCGCTCTCCTCTCCACCCCCTGTTCCCGCAAACCCCCCCACTCCCCGCTCCCCCCACCCCCATGGCCGCACTGTGGTCGACGAACAGCTTGGCGTGCTCCACGTCGTTGCGCGCGATGACGTCAGCGAGCAGCGCGCGGTACGCCTCCACCTTCGCCTTGGGCTCCGCCACCGCCACCACCGCGCGCAGCGCCACGCCCATGTCGCCCATCGCAGCCCTCCGCTCCCCGCGCCCCTCCTCGCTCCTGTGCTTCCCCGCGCTACTGCTCGCCCCTGCTCGATCCTATGTCCGCCTTCTCCCCCGATTGAAACTACGCCCCGCCTGCCTTCCTCTTGACTCGCTGATCAACACCTTCTCTCGACCGTCTTCCCGCGACAAGTTCTCTGGCCCTTTTCCTTCTCTCCTCTCTCACTCTGCCCTCCTCACCTTGATTTGCCCTCTACCCCGAATGTGACTTCAAAGCGGATTGCGCCTCGATTAGCTGGCTGCGCTGCCCACACGAAATCTGTAGTTTAAATATATTATATTTTTCTATAATCTCATAGGGTGTCGATGTAGTATAATGGTCAGTATCTCCGCCTGTCACGCGGAAGATCCGGGTTCGATCCCGGCATCGGCGCGCCGTACGACTTTTGTCCTGTCAGTACCCTGGATTAGCATCTTACCACCGAGAATGGAAAGTGGGATACAAGTCACTCCTCGCAGAGCAACTGTACAACGTTTCTCTTCAGTATGCACAAACATCAATGTTTATTACAGGAACAGGTGATTCTCCAGGTGAAAACACACACAGACAAGGAATGTGTAAGGAAATTCCTTTTCCTTACTTCGCGTCCCTGCCCAGCGCGTACGTCACTGTAGCACCTCAGTCAGCACCGTTACCACTCGCGACCATCGCATCATTCATCATCCCGCCTTTTTCGCACATCGCATCCCGACCTCACGGCTCGGCTGGTAACCCGCGCTCCGGCCTACGCTTCGGACACTTTCCCAACCTCAGTCTCAGGCTCGACGCGCGACAACCACAGTCCATTACCGTTACCACTATTGTTTCGCTATATAAACCTTCGCTCATAGCCTTCGCTCATTGTACTTTTTTGCTTCGATAGTGCAATTCTCGTTCGTTCACTCAATTGCACACGTAACACTTGGTATTCAGAGCCTACGATCTCATCTCGGACCGCATCCACACCTTCGCTTCCCACTATCTCAATTTTTGGGGGGGTAGACGTCTCTCAGCGACACAGCACCGCCGCTCGAAGTGCTCTCTCGCAAGCACGCACGGCCACGACCGAGGCTCTCGCTGAGCTTGCCCGACACCCCCGCCATGGCCGACCTCAATCTCGCCACGTTGACGCAGGAGCAACTCGATCGTCTCGTGCGACAATTGGAGGATTCGGCGCTTGAAATCGCGACGCTCACGGCGGAACGTGACTCCGCCCGTCAACAAGTCAACGGTGAATGCTCCGACAACATCCCACGCACCAACCAATGTCTCTGTACATTCGGAGGAGGCCGATTATCATTTCATCCGGCACACCGACGCAACACAACAGCACGGGACAGCGCTCAGGCGCAGCCAGTGACGGCGCAGCCCAACCGATGCCCGGCATGGGAGGGAACAGGGAGCACGCTAAGCCCACGGGAGCCCCGAGAAGCCCGTCGGCACGTGGAGTTTGCGACGACAAGTGGTGAAACGTCATGATGGCCCCAATGCCACTCAAGCCGCAACGCCCCGCCCTGCTTCGACCCAAGCCAACGCGGCGGCCCGACAGTTCAATCATGGGTCTTCACGATGAATGTGTTTTTCGACGCCAACTACGTCGAGTCGGACGCCGCCAGATTCGGTATGCGGTTTTCACTACTCAGGGGCCCCGCCATGGACTGGTGGCGAGTCATCGTGACGTCGCCACGCGCCTACGAGCCACCGCCGCACGAGGAAGGGCCCTCGGGTTCCAGCTGTCACCTGGAGTTCGTTCTGCGAAACAGCCCAATACAGCACGTGGATGCGTGGTGCGCAGGGCTTCGGGCGCGTTTTGAGCCGATCGCGGCTTACGATTTCGGCGCGTCAGAAACTGCGCACTTGCGCCAGCTCGGGTCGGTTCAAGACTACACCAGCGGTTTTTCCTCGCACTTTGCGAACAGGTCGGCTACATGCACGAGGCGGAGCGGGTGGACCGTTACGTCGGAGGGCTGAAGCCGGACATATCGCACGAGATAATGCTACGCGGGCTATCGAATTTCAACGAAATCCTCGCGCTCGCCGAGAAAATCGATATCCTACGCGACCGAGACCGGGGTCCTATTTCGGACATCGCCCTCGGTGGACCGATCGAGCACGCCACTGTACCATGCCGTCGCAACGAATGCAGCTGCCACGCCATTTAGAGGGCGCTGCTTTGCTTGCAACCGGCCCGGGCCATCGCAAGAGCGAATGTCCAGAGGAGCTGAGGCGTCGAGGAGCCAGAGCAGGGGAAGGAGTCTCAGAGGCAGGGAAACGCCAGCAGTCAGTAGAAGTTGGGCCAACTACTGACGAGACTGCCTGCTCGCCCAACCACACCGACCCTCACCGAGTCACAGTACCGATTCACGCCATCGATCGGGCTCGGATGAATAAGGAGGGTACAGCGACGGATTGCCCGGTACTGATCTACGGGAAAATACAGGGAGCAGCAGTGAAAATCTTCATTGACGGAGGAGCAAGTCACAGCTTAGTTAATACTGCAACCGCACGGAAATTACAGTTAACACTTAACCGATGTTTACCTGAGATAGATGCACGCTAGTCGACGGCACGCATTGGCCATACGAGAAAAAGTGGAGCGAGTAAAAGTCCGCTGCGGGGGAAACTTCGGGTTTACACAGGAAATGCTCGCAACGACGCTGGATGGGCACGACATTTACTGGACGTGATTGGCTGCGACGGTACAACCCACGGATCGACTGGACGACGGGGAGCTGCACAGTGCGAAGTAGCGGTACTGGGTCGTCCTACCTCGCTGGCGGCCACCCGAATCTTCGACAGTCAGGTCAACGCCATCGCGATGAAACGAGCTGTCGCTGCTGGAGCTGACGTGTACGCAGTGGATATCGCAAGTGGTAGAAAAGACGAGCAGCAGAACGATTTTCAGAAACTGCTAGCAGCCGTACCGACCGAATTACAAGCACTACTGAAACGGTTCCCGGGGATATTTCCGGATGATTTACCACAGGGACTGGCCACCTCAGGCGAGTGCACGACCATAGGATCGAGCTAGAACCGGGGGCACAGCCAACAGTACAGCGGCAATTTCGACTGACACAAGCCCGAGCTCGACGAGTTAAGGAAGCAGTTAGATTACCTGTTAGAGAAGCAGTTTTATTCGACCGAGCTCGTCACCGTTCGCCGCACCCATACTGTTCACACCGAAAAAAGACGGAGGTTTTCGCATGTGCATCGACTACCGAGCGCTTAAACCGAGTAACAATCAAATCGCGATACCCCATCCCCCGCGCCGACGAACTCATTGACCAACTGCGAACAGCACGTGTCTTTTCGAAAATAGATTTACGGGGAGGTTACCATCAGATTCGGGTCGAACCATCGGACTGCGCAAAAAACAGCATTTAGGACTAGGTACGGGTCATTCGAGTATACAGTAATGCCTTTCGGATTGACGAACGCGCCTGCGAATTTTCAGATGACCATGAACGAGGCGTTTAGACCACTTTTAGATAGATGCGTGATCGTTTACCTCGACGATATCCTCGTTTACAGTCGGGATAAGCAGCAACACTTAGCAGATCTCGAAGCAGTTTTTAAGGTTTTAGAGGAACATCGGCTGCTCACCAAGGGCTCCAAGTGCGAGTTTTTTAGGGATAGGCTAGAGTTTTTAGGTCACGTCATTTCCGAGGCTGGGGTTGAGATCGACCCAAAGAAGCTGGATACGGTAAAAGCGTGGCGCCCCCCGACAAACATCACGGAACTGCAGAGTTTTTTAGGGTTTGTTAATTACGTTCGACGGTTCGTGCCCGACATGGCACGTTTAACAGCCCCACTAACTGATTTACTGCGTAAGGGGGTCGCTTTTACGTGGGGGGAGAAAGAGCATGCTGCCTTCTCTGCCCTAAAAAACGTCCTCTGTCCACCACCCGTTCTACGTATCGCTGATCCCCACCGCCCTTTCGAAGTGGTTACCGACGCAAGTGACATCGCCATCGGAGCTGTACTGTTACAGGACTTCGGCAACGGCCTCCAACCCATCGCCTACGAATCACGCAAACTACATCCGCCTGAGCGAAATTACCCGATACACGACCGCGAAATGCTCGCGATCGTGCATGCATTCAAAGTTTGGCGCTGCTACTTGACTGGCGCAGACGTGACAGTACGGACAGACCACCGATCTCTACAGTACCTCCGCGCACAGCCCCACCTCAACCCACGACAGATTCGATGGCTCGATTTCCTCGAGTCGAATTTTCACTATACGGTCACATACAAAAAAGGAGCATCGAATATCGCCGACGCACTGACCCGCCCCACTGCCCAGATCCACGCGATACTACTCGCCCAGACCAGCCCACTGCTTACCGGCCTATTTACCCACGGATATCAAACAGACTCGTTCTTTACAGGAGGCAACTCACAGCAATTCGCAGCGGCAAAAGGAGTCTATTACGTAAAAACTGGAACCGACCGCATCTGGGTACCGGGATACACGCTACTGCGGGAACTACTGTTACAGGAAGCACACGATGGAGTTACCTCGGGACATTTCGGGGTAGAAAAAACACGGCAGCAGCTGCAGCGGTACTACTACTGGCCAGAAATGTTGACCGATGTGCAACGACATGTGGCATCGTGTCCCACTTGCCAGCTCATGAAGTCAAGCAGGAAGCGACCAGCGGGGCAATTACAACCCATCCCGCCTCCAGAGCGTGCTTGGCAGCAGGTGACGATGGACTTCGTCACGGGGTTACCAGCTGGGGCGAGTGGGAATGACGCGATCCTGGTCGTCGTCGATCGACTAACGAAAATGGCTCATTTCGCAGCATGCAGGAAATCCATCACAGCCGAAGAAACCGCCCGACTATTCATCTCCACCGTCGTACGACTGCACGGGATACCCGCGTCGATCATCAGCGACAGGGACACGAAATTTACCAGCAACTTCTGGCGGAACCTGTGGCAGCAGTTCGGCACACGCTTACAGTTCAGTTCATCCTATCACCCCGAAACCGACGGACAGACGGAACGAACAAATCAGACCATGGAGCAGCTGATTCGAGCCACGTGCGACGACCCGAATACGTGGGAACAGCAGCTGCCACTTATCGAGTTCGCATACAATAACGCACCATCAGCCACGACGCAACAGTCGCCGTTTTATCTAAATTACGGACAGGACCCAACAGTACCCATGACACCGAATCCCGACAACCCCGTCCCACGAGCACAACAGTTCGCCGAGATTCTGCAGGCAGCACGGACCAGGGCAGCAGAAGCAATAAAAAAATCAAACATCATCGCTAAACGCAACGCCGATCGACATCGCCGACCCGTTACTTATCAGCCCGACGACCTCGTTTTACTCGACACTCAGAACCTTCGCCTGCCCATCACTCCAAAACTTCGCCCCCGATATTGTGGGCCATTTCGCATCAGCCACATGATCACACCCGTTACCGCCCACCTCCTCCTCCCCGCTGACTGGTACGTCAGCCCGTCATTCCACGTCAGCCTACTTCGCCCTTACATCCCATCCACGAGCCAACTGCCACGACATCGCCCAGCCAGCATGACACGTCCCCCAACCGAACCACTCATCACCCCTGACAAAATCCTCAGCCACCGCGTCCGCGACCCTCGGGGAGCCCGAAGGATCGAGTTCCTAATTCGCTGGAAGGACCGAACGGCCACAGAAGACAACTGGGTCCCCATGGATAAAATTGAGAACCACCCTGTCTTCACCGAGTATCTGCGAAGCCGAAATTTCCGCGACGTCCATGCGCTCTCGTAAGGAGGGCCTCCTTGGGGAGGGGGGTAGTGTAAGGAAATTCCCTTTTCCTTACTTCGCGTCCCTGCCCAGCGCGTACGTCACTGTAGCACCTCAGTCAGCACCGTTACCACTCGCGACCATCGCATCATTCATCATCCCGCCTTTTTCGCACATCGCATCCCGACCTCACGGCTCGGCTGGTAACCCGCGCTCCGGGCCTACGCTTCGACACTTTCCCAACCTCAGTCTCAGGCTCGACGCGCGACAACCACAGTCCATTACCGTTACCACTATTGTTTCGCTATATAAACCTTCGCTCATGCCTTCGCTCATTGTACTTTTTTGCTTCGATAGTGCAATTCTCGTTCGTTCACTCAATTGCACACGTAACAGAATGCAACATATCTGTGGTATACAGGGGTCCAGGATGGTGCGCTATCATACTTTATTGCACTATGTTACACATCACACAACATTACAACATCACTGCATGGCCATGCCCCGAAAGGACTGATTATACCAACAAGACTACCATGCTAGTGAATGTGGGTGCAGGTGGGGAGGGAATGCGATGAGGATGTGTTGTGATACAACAGCTACGGGTGCCTCTCAAAGCCCCAAGTTTTGCGCCCATTTAGGCATTTTCCTGAGAGCTTACCACGAACCGTGTCATTCGGTTCATGGGAGACACTTGGTGGGCAAGCCTGGCAACTGGGACTGCTGCTGCTTCATCCTCCACACTGTCTGTCACCCATGCAGTCACCCAGTCGCCCAACCTGCCAGCTAGCCAGTTGCCCAGGCGGTCAGCCGTCAGGCAGTTTGGTTTTGAAGAGCACGCAGCGCTTGTCCTCGGGGAAGTAGGAGTTGCCGTCGCCGGGGTTCATGTTGACCGTCATGCCAAACACGTCCATCTCCGCCGCCGTCACCCGCAGCTTCACATACGCGTTGCGCAGTGCAAACAGGTTCTCTATTCGGTTGAACGTGCGCTGCTGCACGTCCTGTTGAGGGAATGGGAACCGAATCACACCATGAGCATACAAGGAAGAGGTGAGTACAGAATGAGGAGATGAAGCGAGGAAGAATGGGCTCTTCGCAGGTTGAGCGTGTATGCTGCACCATGCCCCATGCCCCATGCACCATGCACCATGCCCCATGCCCCATGCACCATGCACCATGCACCATGCCCCATGCACCACCACGCACCACGCAACATGCACCACCATGCACCATGCACCGCCATGCACCATGCACAACCATACACAAACCACATACCACGCACATCAAACCCCACACCCTCTCCATGTGACGCACCGTGCCGGTGATATACAGCTGGTTGCCAATGTCCTGTGTCACAGCACCATCGTTCATAGCCATGGCTGCCGTTGCTGTCAGCCCCGAGCCTTGCCCACCCCCCAGGCCGGCCCCGGCCCCCTGGCCCTCGGCGCACACGATCTGCGCCTCGCCCGAGTTGCCTGCCAGCACCTGGATGTCGCTGCCCATTATACTCGTTTTAAGCTCACTCGTGGACAGCACAGCGTCGCCCTGGCGCGGCTGGATAGAGAAGGTGGGCACCTGCCCCTCGTGGCCCGCGAAGAAGAAGGCGCAGTCCGTGGGCGACGGCTGACAGCCGGCTATAGGGGGCTCGATTGGCGGGGACGGCGGAGGAGGCGGGTTGGCTGGGGGAGGGTTGTTGGGTGGAGGAGGGGGGTTCGGGGGAGGGTTGTTGGGTGGAGGAGGGGGGTTCGGGGGAGGGTTGTTGGGTGGAGGGGGGCTTGGGGGCGGGGGTGGAGGTGGTGGAGGGGGGCTTGGGGGAGGCAGGGAGGGGGGGGGAATGGAGGGTGGGGCGATGGAGGGGGGAGCAGCAGTGGGGCCGGGGCTGTTCTCGAAGATGGAAGGGGGGGAGGTGCTGGGCTGTGCTGTGGGGGGGGGGGGCCGTCTGGTGGGTTGGTGGAGGAGGAGTTGAACGGGGGCTGGGGCTGGCCGGAGGGCGCGGGGGAGGTGGGAAAGAGGGGGGAGGGGGAAGAGGAGGAGGTGGTGTTGGTGGTGGTGTGAGTGGTGTTGCGGATAATGGCAAGGCCTGTGGTGCCTGTGGTGGTGAGGTGAGAGAGGAGGGGGGGAAGGAGGAGAAGAGAGGTCGGCAAGTGGATAGGGAAAGTACAAGAGAGGGAGGCAGTGGGATGTGAGAGAGGGAGGCACAGCATGGCGGAGCAGAGCATGGCGGAGCAGAGCATGGCGGAGCAGAGCATGGGCCCTTAAAGCACGAATGGTGTGTCATGCGCGTACGCAAGGCACTGACAGTTGGCTTCCAGCCGTTAGAGCAGGTCCGTGTGTGGGTCAACCACAAGGTACATGTCTCTCATCCATGCATCGCCTCTCACAGCCCGCTCCCCCTGACTTACAGTTAGCATCATCCCCCTGACTTACAGTTAGCATCGATCCATGAGAGTGTATCTTTGTGCGTGTCAATGACAAGGTACTTGTCCCGCATCCACAGGTCGCCTATCACTGCACGCTCTGCCTGACTGCTGGCCATGCGCACTGTGAAGCACACCACGTGTGGGCTGCTCGGCACCTGGCGAGGGCACGTTGCAGAGAGGGGGGAGTGGCTGTGAGGTTGAAGCGGTGCACGGGGAAGACAAGGAGATGCAGCGGTCAATGTTGCAACATGACACGAGGGGCCCAGGTTGCGATATCAGGAGGCGGGCTGGGGCCGTATTTGTCACTGCGCGTTGCAGCACATGCGCGTTGCAGCACATGCGCGTTGCAGCACATGCGCGTTGCAGCACATGCGCGTTGCAGCACATGCGCGTTGCAGCACATGTGCTCCCCAGCCGTCTGTATCAATTAGTGAGTAGGAGGAGGGCTCAGGGCGGAAACAGATGAGCAACGAACAAGAGTGCAGTGCGGTGCGCTGTGGTGCAAAGTGATCTGACAGCTCAAGTAAGGCGTGGTATGAGGACGACCTAGTGAAGCAGCAGCAGCTTGCGGCTTGCAAACGCCACTTGCACGGCGTCAGCACAGTAGCAAGGGAGGAGGGCAGGCGATGGCTACGTTCGTGGGTTTTCAAGTCAACTCAAACGTCACCACCTCTGGGTACACGCGTAAGTTTAAAGCCGTTGGCCCAAATTGCACAAGTTTTAAAAGGTTGACGCGAGGGGGTTTTTCTGGTCTGGGTTTTGGCGAGTGATTCCGATTTCGTTATTTTTTTTATTTTATTTTTTTCCGTTTTTTTTCCGCCAAACCCAGCCTGCCCTGGTATTTCGCCCTGGGCCTTGGTTCAGTCCCCAAAAGTCCCAAATTGCAGGCCCGCTTCTTTTCAAAGCTTGCAAACACTACTTCGTCAAGTTTAAAAAGATTGACCCGCGCGCTCCGCAATTTGGGCCGCGGGCTTTAAGTGGCGGTAGAAAGTGAGCACCTGTGGGCAGGGCACGTACGATCTTGAGGTAGTTGGTGGGCGCGATGGTGAAGTCAGCGCTGCCCTTGCCGCCCGCCAGCACGAGTGTGAGCGGCGGGAACTGCTGCAGGAACTCCGCGGGGGTCATGGATGCCCTGGGGGGAGGGGGACGGGTGGAAGGGTGGGGTGCGGCATGGCGTGCACAATTAGAGAAGGTGACGGTGAAGTCAGCGCTGCCCTTGCCGCCCGCCAGCATGAGTGTGAGGGGGGGGGAACTGCTGTAGGAACTCCGAGGGGGTCATGGATGGATGCCCTGAAGGGAGGGGTTGAGGGAGGGCAGGTTGACAGGCGGGGGGGCAGGGAGGGGGTGGTGGTGGGTGAGAGAGATGGCTGGAGTGGTAGAATGAAGCAGGAGATGGGAGGGAGGGGATGGGATCAGGGCACTGGTAGCGCGTTGAGGGAGGAGCACCACAAGGGCAAGGAGTGAAAGAGGGCATGGCAGAACAAGCAGTGAAAGAGGGCATGGCAGAACAAGCAGTGAAAGAGGGCATGGCAGAACAAGCAGTGAAAGAGGGCATGGCAGAACAAGCAGTGAAAGAGGGCATGGCAGAACAAGCAGTGAAAGAGGGCATGGCAGAACAAGCAGTGAAAGAGGGCATGGCAGAACAAGCAGTGAAAGAGGGCATGGCAGAACAAGCAGTGAAAGAGGGCATGGCAGAACAAGCAGTGAAAGAGGGCATGGCAGAACAAGCAGTGAAAGAGGGCATGGCAGAACAAGCAGTGAAAGAGGGCATGGCAGAACAAGCAGTGAAAGAGGGCATGGCAGAACAAGCGCTCTTGCTTTTCCACCAATGGAGGCCGCCCCTGCCGAGTGCTTGGTTTCTCTGACACCCCCATGGTCCCTGTTTTCTATGCTGCATGCTCCCTCTCCCATCCTCTCCCCCCTGCCCCTGCTCACCCGCACACTGCGGCACTCACTGGTGGTAGTCATTGGCGTCAAGGCAGTCCACCCCCTCCTGTGCGCTCTCCGACGACGCAAACTTCATGAGCGGGTACTGCACCAGGAACTGATGGGGGGGGGGAAGGATGGAGAGGAGAGGATTCACACACCCACGCACATGCGCAGAGGGTAGAGTGGAGCGAGTGAGCGAGTGAGCAAGTGAACGAGTGAGAGAGTGAGAGTGAGAGAATGAGCGAGTGAGAGAGTGAGCGAGTGAGCGAGTGAGAGAGAGTGAGAGAGTGAGCGAGTGAGAGAGTGAGAGAGTGAGAGAGTGAGAGAGTGAGCGAGTGAGCGAGTGAGAGAGTGAGCGAGTGAGCGAGTGAGAGAGTGAGCGAGTGAGAGAGTGAGAGAGTGAGAGAGTGAGCGAGTGAGCGAGTGAGAGAATGTGAGAGTGAGAGAGTGAGAAAGCCTTTCCCTCGGCCCTTGGCCTCTGCCCTCTGCCCCTTTGCCTCCTTGCCCATATAAGGGCCTCTAGTGCCCTGCATTCCTCATTGTTTCGTGTGTGTTGTCAGTTTTTGTGTGTGCCCTGCATTCCTTTTTTCCACCAATGGAGGCTGCCACACGCTTCTGTGCGTTCCCACACGACACATACGCCATGCACGGGGGGACGTGACAGACGGGGAGATGGGAACGAACACGGGAGGGCTTGAGACATGCTCACCTTCACAAGGAAATGAGAGACGGGGGAGGGGGGACAACGTGAGACGAGGGAGTGCACCAGTTCGAACCACTCTGAACCACTGCAAACCACTCACAGCGGTGGCGAGAGCCATGTAGGCGGGTCGGGGCAGCACGGAGGCAGCAGAGGAGGAGTCGAGTGCCGTGCCCCCTGCTCCCGTGGAGGAGAGCGGTGGGAACATGTCGGGTGTGACGACCAGGTCCGCCGTGCCCAGACGCATGTCCTTTATCTTCACATACACCAACGCACTGATGTCACGGGCCACGGAAGGGGGTGGTGGGTACACAGGAGGCTGAAGGGTGCACCCCCCACATGAGCTTGTGCTTTTGCACTTGTCCCCACTCGTGTGGGCCTCGGCTTGAGGGTCGCACTCAACGGACGAGTCTCTGAAAAAGCACACACAGCCTTGCACTGCCGGCAGCAACACACACCACCAATCACGTCACCCGCCCTCACGTCATCCCAATGCGAGGCAAGGCAAGCCACCTGAGGCTGTTCTTGTACACGCGGGTCGACCCGCTAGCAGGCCCGGCGTCAGTGGTCCCCAGCAGCAGGTGGCTGCCCCCCCCAGCAGCAGCGGCATCGTCCCCCTCCAGGCACAGTGCGAAGCCCGCCCGCGGCACCACCCCGCTCTCCGCCAGCTGGGAGAGCGGCGAGAGCGGCCCCGTGCCCAGCCCCAACACGCCCCCTGGCGCACCGTTGTCCGTCGCCAACACTCCTGTTTGGTACCGCCCGCAGCTGGGGGGAGAAAATGGGGGGAAGAGGGGAGTGGCACCAAGGGAATGAGAGGAAGTGGGAAGATGGGGGGAGACAGCGCCCCTGTGCCCAGCCCAGCACGCCCCCTGGGGCACCGTTGTCTGTTGCCAACACCCCCTGGGGCACCGTTGTCTGTTGCCAACACCCCCTGGGGCACCGTTGTCTGTTGCCAACACCCCCTGGGGCACCGTTGTCTGTTGCCAACACCCCCTGGGGCACCGTTGTCTGTTGCCAACACCCCCTGGGGCACCGTTGTCTGTTGCCAACACCCCCTGGGGCACCGTTGTCTGTTGCCAACACCCCCTGGGGCACCGTTGTCTGTTGCCAACACCCCCTGGGGCACCGTTGTCTGTTGCCAACACCCCCTGGGGCACCGTTGTCTGTTGCCAAACACCCCCTGGGGCACCGTTGTCTGTTGCCAACACCCCCTGGGGCACCGTTGTCTGTTGCCAACACCCCCTGGGGCACCGTTGTCTGTTGCCAACACCCCCTGGGGCACCGTTGTCTGTTGCCAACACCCCTGGGGCACCGTTGTCTGTTGCCAACACCCCTGGGGCACCGTTGTCTGTTGCCAACACCCCTGCTTGATACCGCCCCCAGCTGACGACGGAGGGAGGGTGGGGTGGGGACGGAGGGATGGGGTGGGGAGGGGGGAAGGGTGAGGAAGGGGATGGAGTGGGAGGGGCAGTGAGAGTGTCCCGTTTGAGTCGACTCAAAACACGAGCGTCCCCGCGCCCAAGCCCAGCACGCCTCGTGGGGCGCTGCTCTCTGTGCCCAGCACGCCTCGTGGGGCGCTGCTCTCTGTGCCCAGCACGCCTCGTGGGGCGCTGCTCTCTGTGCCCAGCACGCCTCGTGGGGCGCTGCTCTCTGTGCCCAGCAGCCCTGACTGATGGCGCCCGCAGCTGTGAGAGGGGGAGAAAACGGGGAGAGGGGGTAAGAGCGGGGAAGTAGGGCAATCGGTGGGAGAGGCATGGCGTTGACAAGCGTGACGAGCAGCGAAGCACACAAGCATGCATGGCACCGCGCCCGCATGCACACCAACCCCAAGGTGACAGCACATGTACCCGAAGGTGAGGTTGGGCGCGAGGAAGCTGCCGTCTTCTAAACTCAGATGCACCTCGTCGCGCACCAGGTTGCCCGCTGAGCTGCCCTGGGGGGAGCTCGACACCAGCGAGTACTGGCACGTGGAGTCCGGCGTGGGTAGTCCGGTGCAATGCTGCAGCCCACTGAGAGCGAGCGGTCGTCCGCCCAGGCGGAGCAGGAGGAGGAGTCGCACGGCATGGTGGTGAGCGTCGTGGACTCCGCCGGCTTGAACGGCGTTGGCTGGAGGGGTTGGGAGGCAGAGAGTGGGCAGAGGAAATGGAGGGATAGGGGCGAAAGGCGCAGGTAGAGAGGGGGGCAGGGCAGGGGTGAGAGGTTGGCGGGCCGGGTGGAGCATGTGGAGGAGTGGCAGGGGGTGGTGGCGATGTGGGCGTGTGTGCAGGGCTGTGCTTACCGTGGCGGAGGAGGAGGGTCCATCGGTGCAGCGCACGCAGTCGCAGGGCAGCCAGAGCAGGTCGCTGGCCGTGTCCACCACCACGCTGAACGCCTGCTGTGATGACCCCACTCTCACCTCCGTGTGGTACCTGGTTGGGGGGGGAAGAGAGGGAGAGGAGAGAGGAGAGGGGAGGGAAGAGAGGAGAAGGGGGAGTGTCGGGGGAGAGACAGGGGAGAGACTGGGGGAAAGCGATGAGTGAAGGGTAGGCAGAGCAGGTGGGGCGCCGTATCGACCAGAGCAGGTGGGGCGCCGTATCGACCAGAGCAGGTGGGGCGCCGTATCGACCAGCACACTGCATGATTGCTGGGATGACCCCACTCGCGCCCAGGTGTCGTACCTGGTGGGGGGAGGGGGGGAGGGGGAAAGTAGGGTCGTGGGGAAGCGCAGGTGGG